GCCAAGTTTTTAGAAGCTCATTTTTTAAAATTCCCGCCGTTCTAAATCCACAAGTTACAGTTGTCTGTTGTTGTGCTCCGTGTCGCGCTGTTTGAACAGTCTCTAACGCAGCACTGGGCTCAGCCTCAAATATATATCAAACTGTATTTTTATCGTTCTCCAAATAAATTCAGCTCAGTACCACATTAGAGAATATTTATTATAATATTTATGTGGAAAATGCTGTGGAACCGCGTGTATTTTTGAGGCTTCATGGTGCCGCGAAACTAACACTGGCATACATTTAACTAGAAAATACGTCTCTGTAAACCATACTTGTACTCTTCTTAGACAACATACATATTTTTACACATATTAAACCAATAAATACAAAAAATTTACACTGTTATACAAGCTGTACACTCACTACTTTACATTGTAGCAAAGTGTCATTTCTTCAGTGTTGTCACATAAAAAGATATAATAAAATATTTACAAACATGTGAGGGGTGTACTCTCTTCTGTGAGATACTATATATATATATATATATATATATATATATATATTTCAAATACGTTCTGTAGTTTTACACTTTCTATTCATCAAAGAATCCTGTATCATGGTTACCACAAAAAAAAAGATATATATATATTCCACATCTGTTTTCAACAGTGATAATAATAACAATTTTTTCTTGAAGACCAAATAATAAAATGATTTCTGAAGGATCATGTGACACTGAAGACTAGAATAAAGGCTGCTGAAAATTTAGCTTTGCCATCACAGGAATAAATTACCAGAAATTGCCAAATTTAAATACTGGTGTATCCCTAAAATAAGTTACATATATATATATATATATATATATGTGTGTTCTTCTTGAAATATACAGGTTTTTATAGTATTTTATAGTATATTGCATAAATAGTTTGATGCTTAAAGAAAGCAGTTGTTTCGTAGTGCATTCCTCCCTCATCATCATGTTTCTACATGCACATCTGGCAAGGCAACAATTGTTTGTGTCACTAATGCCTATAGCTTGTTTGTACATACAAATATTTCCAGTATCTCACTGGCATCTCAAAAAAGGGAAAACAAAAAGGTGTGCATGTCCATCTGTCTGAAATGACTGATATAATCATCTGTGATGTGCACTGACATGGCAGACAGCTCTCGCCAATGAATGAGAGAATGAGAGAGCCTCACTTCGAGCCATAATGGCAGGTGATGTGTTGCTCATGCTGGTTCAGAATCACACTCAGGGGCCTGTTTCATAAAACAAGTTTACCAAATAAGCCAGGTTTATTTCAGTTAGTCTGACTTATTGTCAGCTGATTTGGTTCAAAATAAGTCAGACTAACTGAAATAAGCCTGGCTTATTTGGTAAACTTGTTTTATGAAACAGGCCCATGTTGTCTTGGTGCAGTAAAATGAAAGCAGAACATTTTGTTTGTCTCTTTATTTCATAATATCTCGAGCATAAATCAAAACAATGCAAATCTTCAGAGAGACGAGCTTAAATGACGATAAAGAAACTTTGTCAGGGTTCTGCCATGGCAGCTTTGTCTGTGTTGTCTCTGTTTAATGTTTCTTTGGTTGTCTTGTGCCTGAACACATTGCTTTGTCTTTGTTTTTGTCTGCCATGTGTTCCTTTGGTCCCAACTCCTTGTTTCCCTTGGTCACGTCCTCTTGTTTAGCCCTTGTCTTGTTCTTGTTCCTCTAATTGTGCTCACCTGGCCCTCGTGTTCTTCCTTCCTTTATATTGTGCTGCTTTTTCCTCTTGTGTTTGCTGGTTCATTTTATGATTTGAATCTTGCTAGTCTAGTCCTGTATTTATCCTCTTAGGTTCTTGATCTTGTCAAGTTCAAGTTTTTTTCCTTTGTATTTGTTGCTTTTCCCTTTGTAGCTAGTTTAGGTTATCTATAGAACTTCTATTTCGTTTATATCTTTTGTTCTTTTTCTATTTTAGTTATTTGATTTTTCCATAGTTTTGTGTTTTCCCAGTTTTTTTGTTGCCCTTGTTTTTGTCTCTCCTGTTGTCTTGTCTGCAGTCTTGTCTTGTTGTGTGTGTGTTGTGTTGGTTCCTACCCTGCCCTGCTCTCTGTGTCTCTCCTGGTTGCTGACTCTCCTGACCTGGCCACCAACTCTAGTGCTTCTGTGATATCTCCACGTGTCAAGCCTCTGCTTCCTTAAGCTGCTGCCCCGTGGTTGCAAAGTCTGGAACTGTCTTAACTCTGACCAACCTGTTCTCCAGTTGTGTGCTCTCACCAAGCCGCCCTATTGTTTGGACCGTGTTCCTTCCTCACCTATCTTGTGCTGTGATTTTGTTACCCCTCCCAACTCATTCTGCATTTGGGTGCCTTTCTGCTGATCTTGACACCCTTCCCTATAATCTGACTGGGGGGTCCCAACATGCACTACACAAAATGTACCTTCTCAACCATGTCATAAAGTTAGATGCGGCTTTCAGAAAGTCTCCCTTGAGTTTCCACTAATCGGAAGTGACGCTGCTGTTTTTCTGGCTGTTGTAATCTATGTTCTGCGCTCCTGAGAAGGATGAGGTGGAAAAAATAACAGACGCAGAGCGTGATTGTGCAGATGGTGGGAGCAACGCTAGGCCACTGAAAATGGCAGCTGTCAAGGCAAGCTGAGAGAGAGAGGAACCCGCGCAGGCCCTTGCTGTCTGAAGACTTTGTCACATTGCAGTAGAAACCTCAAGGAGTTCAGAGGAGATGTGTGGTGGCAAGCTTGTCATATTTATTAAGGAGATATTTCGCCAACATGTGAACTCATGTGTGACCAACTTAGTAATTGCATTTAAAGGAGGAATTTCTTTTCCAGTTTGTGGTACTGGATAATGTTGCAGTATTTTTATATTATGCATTTGTGTGTGTACTATATATAAAAGTTTAGATCCCTTAAAGAACTGACGAATAAATTGAGTTTGAATTAAAGGGATAGTTCACCCAAAAAATTTAAATTTTGTCATTAATTACTTACCCTCATGTCGTTCCAAACCCGTAAGAACTCCGTTCATCTTCGGAAAACAAATTAAGATATTTTTGATGCATTCAGGTCTCTGACCGACCCTCCGACAGAAAGGGTCTTTACACGATCAACGGGGTTCAACCGTAATTTTACGAAGCTACGAGAATACTTTTTGTGCGCAAAAGAAAAAAAAATAACGACTTTATTCAACAATTCGTCTCCTCCGTGTCACCCTGGTGCCATTTTGGAGAGTATTCACTGAACGCAAACAGCATATGCAACATGTGCTGTTTGCGTTCAGTGTATACTCTCCAAAATGCCGCCAGGGTGACACGGAGGAGACGAATTGTTGAATAAAGTCATTTTTTTTCTTTTGTGCATGAAAAAGTATTCTTGTAGCTTTGTAAAATTACGGTTGAACCCCTGATGTCACGTGGATTATTTTACCGATCTCCTTGCTACATCTCTGGACGTTGATCGTGGTAGTACCCTTGCTGTCTATGCAGGGTCTGAGAGCTCTCAGATTTAATCAAAAATATCTTAGTTTGTGTTCCGAAGATGAACGAAGGTCTTACGGGTTTGGAACGACATGAGGGTGAGTAATTAATGACAGAATTGTCATTTTTGGATTAACTATCCCTTTAATGACAAGAGTATCTCACATAATATCATGTGTGCTGTACCAAATAAGCTTGATAGTTTTATTATTTGAGCTGATAGCAAAGAACAGCACATTGCTGTATATGCACACAAATGAGGCTTCAATAAAATAACACAACTGGTTGCAAAGACATGACAACACTATACATTTTGGGATGTGGAAAAGTGCTCGAGGCAAACGTAATTGGAGCATGTAAGAGATCAGTTAAATGGCTGTTTGTTTTGTATTATGTCAGCTAGTCAGTCATGAACTTGTTTCTTTGCAAGTGTGTTTCCCCAAAGGGATTTTTCTATGTATTGCAATCGTTTACTTGTGAATAATAGACTTCTCATAGACATGTTTCATAACGTCCTTCAAATGACTTATTGTGTGACTGGAGCTGTGTTGTTAATCTGATTTTATTTATTGTTTATTGATTGGGCATTCGCATCCGCTTAAAAATATAACATATTTAATTGTGCATGCTATATATTTTCAAGCACACAAATTATTTTCAAGTGCCTTGTGAGGGAAAATAATTAAGTAAATAAATTAATAAATAAATGCCTTGCACCTTTGTTGCAATATTTGTGTTTAATGCTGTTGTTGTTTATCTAGTGCCTGTAGTGCCTGTGTGCATTTTGTGATGTGATGGAGATGAAAGAAGTAAAGATAGCTGGAGTACAACACTGACA